ATATGTCTTGACTGTGGAAAGACATTGTGAGTATTGGTAAAGAGTCTGAACGGTTGAATTTCATGCTAACAAAGGGTTTTAAATGGGAAGTTGGGGACGGAAGTCAAGTGGAGTTCTAGGGAGATAAGTGGTTGGGTGATAAATCTTTAAAAAATTTATTTCCTAGGTTGTTTGTGTTAGCAACGGATAGGGAGGGGTTGGTGAAAAATATGGGTTTTTGGAGAGGGGATGATTAGGTATGAGGTTGTAGATGGCAGCGTAGTTGTGTGGGAAGGGTGGGTAGTGAGGAGGAACAGTTGAGGGACTTGATTAATGGAGTAAAGGTGAGGAAGGATAACGCTGATTTATGGAGATGGGTTCATAGTGGTGATGGTGTATATTCTGTGAAAGCTACTTATGCTTTTTTAACACATACAGAATGTATCCTTGATAAGAAGTGGTTTAGGTTTATTTGGTGTAAGTATGTTCCTTCTAAATTGAGTGTATTTGGGTAGAGATTATTTTTGAATAGGTTGGAAACAAGGGAGAATTTATATAGGAGAGGGATTTTGCTAGAGGGGAATGTTGGTTATGGGTTTTGCAATGAGGGTGTGGAGCAGCTTAATCATGTTTTTGTGAATGTAAAAGGGCATGGTTAGTGTGGATGCAGGTTTTGAGCTGGTGGGGTTGGCAAGGTGTATTGCCAAATGACATTTTTGGATTGGCAAAAATTGTGATGCAAGGTGTAGGCGAAGGATGTGGGAAGGATTTAGGTGCTTTTGTTTTCTTAGTAGTTGCTTGGTTTCTGTGGTATTGGCCAAATATGAGGGTGTTTGAGACAAATTTGAGGGGTGAGGTGCCATTTTTAGAGTCAATACAGACAAAATCTTTTGTATGGTTAAAGAAGAAAGTGACAAGTTGTGTGTTCACTATTCAAAATTGGATATCAAGACCTGTGGAATGTAGAGAAAGCATTGTGCAACATTGTAAAAATGTGAGAAGTTACAAGCTGTAGAACAGGGCTTGGTGTTGATTTGTTTTGTTTTTCCTTTTTTTGGGGGCTTCATTGAGTATTTTTCGTTTTCATTATGAGTATGTAACTTGTTTGCTTTTGGTTTCTGGACTTAGAGATGTAATTTGCTTAGGAGTATTCCTTATACTCCTATAATAATAAATTTCTCATTTGTTTTTGCTGATAAAAAAAAAATATTACCTTCATATTTTACTTTACAAAATATTACGCCCAATTAAAGTTGAATAAAATGAGTGTTTAATACTACATTTAAATTAAGTACAATACAGAGAATAGTAAAAATCAAAACATCCTAATACTTTAAATGTTAGGACCCATGTGAAATTATTCAAATACACATAATAAACCTCTTTTACGTTTTGATTCATTAAGGATATTTAAATTTTTTTCATTATCATTTCAAACATGTTAAATACCAAGACATCTTGGTTTTTCTTAATTCCTTAAATAAATGAAAGTACCAAAATCTTTGTTTAAAGTTACAAAATTTATAAAAATCAAAATAAAAAACCACAACATAGAGCCAACAACTTAAGTAAGTTTGCGATAATCTCTTTTTGCTGGAAATAAAAAGTTTTTAGTTCGAATCACTTGAAATTTAAGTGGGATGAAGGAAAAAATGAAAGAGAGTTATATTTTATTATACAATCAAGATAAAAAAGAAAAAAAAAACCACAACATAGAAAACAAAACTTATATTTTTTAGAAGTTGCAAACAGATTAAAGAAAGCTATTTAATTAATAATTTTAATTATATAAATATAAAATACTGAATTTACTAAATTATCCTTTTCAACATTTTGAAAATACCCTATTTTTAAGCAATAATCTCTTTCCATTTAAGGTATGTGAGGGTAACGTTGAAAAGGAAAATGTGGGGGTAGGTTGTTAAATCTTAAGATCACACAAAAATAATTAATTTGAGGTGTACATAAATTGTTTCAAGAACATCATAATTGTAAATTAAAAAAGTAAACTAATATGACATACTTGTATTCATAATTTTTTATATTAAATTATATAATAA